AACGGACCAAAACAATACAGCAGGAATCTTGCTGTAGATACCCGTTAGTAAAACTAAACATATCCGATGATATCAACAAACAAAGCAAACGGACCAATACAATACAGCAGGAATCTTGCTGTAGATACCTGTTTGTAAAACTAAACATTTCCGATGATATAAACAACTAAACGGACCAACACAATACAGCAGGAATCTTGCTGTAGATACCTGTTTGTAAAACTAAACATTTCCGATGATATAAAGAACTAAACGGACCAACACAATACAGCAGCAATCTTGCTGTAGATACCTGTTTGTAAAACTAAACATTCCGATTTTATCAACAACCAAACGGACCAACACAATACAGCAGCAATCCTGCTGTAGATACCTGTTTGTAAAACTAAACATTTCCGATGATATAAACAACCAAACGGACCAACACAATACAGCAGCAATCTTGCTGTAGATACCTGTTTGTAAAACTAAACATTTCCGATGATATAAAAACAACCAAACGGACCAACACAATACGGCAGGAATCTTGCTGTAGATACCTGTTTGTAAAACTAAACATTTCCGATGATATAAACAACTAAACGGACCAACACAATACAGCAGCAATCTTGCTGTAGATAGCTGTTTGTAAAACTAAACATTTCCGATGATATAAACAACCAAACGGACCAACACAATACAGCAGGAATCCTGCTGTAGATAGCTGTTTGTAAAACTAAACATTTCCGATGATATAAACAACCAAACGGACCAACACAATACAGCAGCAATCTTGCTGTAGATACCTGTTTGTAAAACTAAACATTTCCGATGATATAAACAACCAAACGGACCAACACAATACAGCAGCAATCTTGCTGTAGATACCTGTTTGTAAAACTAAACGTTCCGATGATATAAACAACTAAACGGACCAACACAATACAGCAGCAATCTTGCTGTAGATCTGTTTGTAAAACTAAACATTTCCGATGATATAAACAACCAACCTGATACGGATACAGCACAACACTAAAACTAAACATTTCCGATGATATCAAAACGTAGTAGCAGGAATCCTGCTGTAGATACCTGTTTGCAAAACTAAACATTTCCGATGATAAACAACTAAACGGACAAACACAACACAGCAGTAATCTTGGAGTAGATACCTGTTAGTAAAACTAAACATTCCCGATGATATAAACAACTAAACGGACCAACACAATGCAGCAGGAATCTTGCTGTAGATACCCGTTAGTCAAACTAAACATTTCCGATGATATAAACAACTAAACGGACCAAAACAATACAGCAGGAATCTTGCTGTAGATACCCGTTAGTAAAACTAAACATTTCCGATGATATCAACAACCAAACGGACCAACACAATACAGCAGCAATCTTGCTGTAGATACCCGTAAGTAAAACTAAACATTCCCGATGATATAAAGAACTAAACGGACCAACACAATACAGCAGGACTCTTGCTGTAGATACCCGTTAGTAAAACTAAACATTTCGATGATATCGTCAAATCAACCAAACGGACCAACACAATACAGCAGCAATCTTGATGTAGATAAATGTTTGTAGAACTAAACATTTCCGATGATAAACAACTAAACGGACAAACACAACACAGCAGTAATCTTGGAGTAGATACCTGTTTGTAAAACTAAACATTTCCGATCATATATACAAGAAAACGGACCAAACACAATACGGCAGGAATCTTGCTGTAGATACCCGTTTGTAAAACTAAACATTTCCGATGATATCAACAACCAAACGGACCAACACAATACAGCAGGAATCTTGCTGTAGATACCCGTTAGTAAAACTAAACATTTCCGATGATATCAACAACCAAACGGACCAACACAATACAGCAGCAATCTTGCTGTAGATACCCGTAAGTAAAACTAAACATTCCCGATGATATAAAGAACTAAACGGACCAACACAATACGGCAGCAATCTTGCTGTAGATACCCGTTAGTAAAACTAAACATTTCCGATGATATCAACAAATCAAGCAAACGGACCAATACAATACAGTAGGAATCTTGCTGTAAATACCTGTTTGTAAAACTAAACATATCCGATGATATCAACAAATCAAGCAAACGGACCAATACAACACAGTAGCAATCTTGCTGTAGATACCTGTTTGTAAAACTAAACATTTCCGATGATATCAACAAATCAAGCAAACGGACCAATACAATACAGTAGGAATCTTGCTGTAGATACCTGTTTGTAAAACTAAACATTTCCGATGATATAAACAACTAAACGGACCAACACAATACAGCAGGAATCTTGCTGTAGATACCTGTTTGTAAAACTAAACATTTCCCGATGATATAAAGAACTAAACGGACCAACACAATACAGCAGCAATCTTGCTGTAGATACCTGTTTGTAAAATTAAAACATTCCGATTTTATCAACAACCAAACGGACCAACACAATACAGCAGCAATCCTGCTGTAGATAGCTGCTTGTAAAACTAAACATTTCCGATGATATAAACAACCAAACGGACCAACACAATACAGCAGCAATCTTGCTGTAGATAGCTGTTTGTAAAACTAAACATTTCCGATGATATAAACAACCAAGCGGACCAACACAATACGGCAGGAATCCTGCTGTAGATACCTGTTTGTAAAACTAAACGTTCCAATGATATAAACAACTAAACGAACCAACACAATACAGCAGCAATCTTGCTGTAGATAGCTGTTTGTAAAACTAAACATTTCCTATGATATAAACAACCAAACTGACCAACACAATACAGCAGGAATCCTGCTGTAGATACTTGTTTGTAAAACTAAACATTTCCGATGATATAAACAACCAAACGGACAAACACAATACAGCAGCAATCTTGCTGTAGATACCTGTTTGTAAAATGAAAACATTCCGATGATATAAACAACCAAACGGACCAATACAATACAGCATCAATCTTGCTGTACGTAGTAGATACCTGTTTGTAAAACTAAACGTTCCGATGATATAAACAACTAAACGGACCAACACAATACAGTAGCAATCTTGCTGTAGATACATGTTTGTAAAACTAAACATTTCCGATGATATCAACAACCATACGGACCAACACAATACAGCATCAATCTTGCTGTACGTAGTAGATACCTGTTTGTAAAACTAAACATTTCCGATGATAAACAACTAAACGGACAAACACAACACAGCAGTAATCTTGGAGTAGATACCTGTTAGTAAAACTAAACATTTCCGATGATACAAGCAACTAAACGGATCAAAACAACACAGCAGCAATCTTGCTGTAGATACCTGTTTGTAAAACTAAACATTTCCGATCATATATACAAGAAAACGGACCAAACACAATACGGCAGGAATCTTGCTGTAGATACCCGTTTGTAAAACTAAACACTTCCGATGATATCAACAACCAAACGGACCAACACAATACAGCAGCAATCCTGCTGTAGATAGCTGCTTGTAAAACTAAACATTTCCGATGATATAAACAACCAAACGGACCAACACAATACAGCAGCAATCTTGCTGTAGATAGCTGTTTGTAAAACTAAACATTTCCGATGATATAAACAACCAAACGGACCAACACAATACGGCAGGAATCCTGCTGTAGATACCTGTTTGTAAAACTAAACGTTCCGATGATATAAACAACTAAACGAACCAACACAATACAGCAGCAATCTTGCTGTAGATAGCTGTTTGTAAAACTAAACATTTCCTATGATATAAACAACCAAACTGACCAACACAATACAGCAGGAATCCTGCTGTAGATACTTGTTTGTAAAACTAAACATTTCCGATGATATAAACAACCAAACGGACCAACACAATACAGCAGGAATCCTGCTGTAGATGCCTGTTTGCAAAACTAAACATTTCCGATGATATAAACAACCAAACGGACAAACACAATACAGCAGCAATCTTGCTGTAGATACCTGTTTGTAAAATGAAAACATTCCGATGATATAAACAACCAAACGGACCAATACAATACAGCATCAATCTTGCTGTACGTAGTAGATACCTGTTTGTAAAACTAAACGTTCCGATGATATAAACAACTAAACGGACCAACACAATACAGTAGCAACAGATACAGCATTTCGATGATATCAACAACCATACGGACCAACACAATACAGCATCAATCTTGCTGTACGTAGTAGATACCTGTTTGTAAAACTAAACTTTCCGATGATATAAACAACTAAACGGACCAATACAATACAGCATCAATCTTGCTGTACGTAGTAGATACCTGTTTGTAAAACTAAACTTTCCGATGATATAAACAACTAAACGGACCTACACAACACGGCAGCAATCTTGCTGTAGAGACCCGTTAGTAACACAAAAACATTTCCGATGATATCAACAAATCAACCAAACGGACCAACACAATACAGCAGGAATCTTGCTGTAGATACCCGTTAGTAAAACTAAACTTTTCCGATGATATCGTCAAATCAACCAAACGGACCGACACAATACGGCAGGAAGCCTGCTGTAGATACCTGTTTGTAAATCTAAAACCTTCCGATGATATAAACAACCAAACGGACCAATACAATACAGGAGCAATCTTACTGTAGATACCTGTTTGTAAAACTAAACTTTCAGATGATATAAACAACTAAAGGGACCAACTCAATACATCAGCAATTTTGCTGTAGATAGCTGTTTGTAAAACTAAACATTTCCGATGATATCAACAACTAAACGGACCAACACAATACAGCAGGAATCCTGCTGTAGATAGCTGTTTGTAAAACTAAACATTTCCGATGATATAAACAACCAAACGGACCAACACAATACAAGCAGGAATCCTGCTGTAGATACATGTTTGTAAATCTAAACATTTCCGATGATATAAACAACCAAACGGACCAACACAATACAGCAGCAATCTTGCTGCGTGCGGCGTTAAACAATACTAAAACATATGTAATTGTAATAACACCTACCTCCTTAAGAACGCTTAACAGCTATGCAGTCGGTAGGAGTGCGGTAATGTGTTCTTGGTCGAGGATGTATATACCCCAACTAACCTAGCAAGTATGTATGCAAGCCAGTGTGTGTCATAACGAAATGTATATGCATGGATGGATAGGCCCTTTATCATACATCTGTCATCAGCTTGCTACATGACTCTCGACCAAGCATAGGTCACACTCACAATAGGAGGCACTCGATTCACCCCAGCCCCAGGTTATGTCGAGTTGGGAACAGACAGTGTTGAAATCGCATTCGCTTGTTTCTCTAGATTACGTGTCTTTCACACCACACTCTGGACCAGTAGGGATTTCATGTACACTGAACCCTGGTTATAATGCCCTTGGTTATAATGCCATCCTGGATATAATGCCATGTTTTTGCCAGAACGGATTTCCTGCCCTTATAATTCCCTGGTTATAATGCCAAACTGGATATAATGCCATTTGCCAATGGTTTTTGGAACGAAAGTAATTTTCCCCCTAGCTGCATGTAGTATACATACCTAACTGAAATGACTCAAATTATTTGACCAAACTCTTTAGTGCTTTAAGTGGTAATGTAATACCAGATGGGATAACACATGTGACTGGCTGCTACCTACAACAAGTCACCTGCAGCCCCTAGACGCTGGGATTGATTATCCAGTCATTCAAGGCTCATTACAGGAGACATAAACTATATCACCTTGTTGATTGCATAGGGCCTCTAACTGCCCTACCTGGTCGCTCGATCATAGAGACAATATCACATGTTGACAAACTTGAACCGTGTGTGAAAACCGCAGTTTCAAAGTGTGATGATGTTAAGTCTGAGGCACAGAAGCTGAATTATACACAGAGAGAACTAGAAAGTTTGTACACTTAAGATCGTGACAGAACTACGAGAGATTTTGATGATGTTTTCTATGACATTGATATATATCAAGATCAGACAGATATGAAGGACGTAGTAATTGATCTCAAGACTCGACCTATGGGAAACAATCTGTTATTTCTTGGAATATCAGAAATGGCAGGAGAAAACCCAAGAGATATCGTGAACACATTTATTACAAAATGATCTGTTACGGGGGTGCGGGGGGTACAGGACTGGGCCACGTAACGTCACATAAACCTCGCACCATAGTTGAAAATTGCCAGTCGTGACGAGTGCTGGGAGATTTTGACCAGCAAAAAAGGCACTCAAAAATACCAATTGAAATTGTACAGAGGCGAAAAGAACTGATGCCAATGTTCAAAGAAGCAAAGAGGCGAGCTATGCGGGCCAATCCGACAGTGGACAGACTGTACAGCGAAGGACGACGCTATTATCCTTGTGACAATCCTTTTTGAAACCTGTGCGGATATCGACGGTCCATCTAACAGAATGTCTTGTGCTCATGTTGCAAGACAAACCGACAGTCCACCAAACAAGGTACCGAGAATCGATCAGATTCAAAATCAGGACTGATCTGACGATGAAAGTCAACAATTCCGTGACCTGCAGAACACGGAAAATACTTCTACAACATGACAGCGCGACATAATTGGAACGACGCGATGGAAGAATGCGGGTGTACAGACGTCGACGTGAACGTTTCGCCGACGCTTGCGTTCCCCAGGTGGACAGATTCGGCGGGAACAGTGTTATGATGTGGGGAGCGATCACCTGCCTTAGGAGAAGTGATTGCTGATGATCCAGGGCAACCTGACAGCTCAACGGTACTATGACGAAATCCTACGACCACACTTCCTTCCAATCATTGATCGCAAGAGGGAGTTGTTTCAACAGGACAATGCCACACAGCACGTCACACTAGAGACTTCCTCCAGAACCACAACATCAATGTGCTCCCCTGGCCTTCAAGATCACCGGACTTAAACCCGACCAAACATCTGTGGGATGCTGGGTGCGACGCCTTAACCCTCAGCCCCAGACACTTCAGCAACTCGCACCGGCACTACAGGCAGAGTGGGCTGCGATTGGGCAACACGAGATTCTGAGACTTATTCGTTCAATGCCGAGGTGATGCCGTGCAGTTCTGGATGTCCACGGTGGTCACACCAGGTATTGACTTCAGCGCCATGCACCACACGTCTCCATGTGACACTCACACTGACTTTCCTCGAGTTGGTGCCAAAGACGGATAAGTCTGCATTCCCAGTCTGCAATTTCGCTATATTTCATTGACTCATAAAGCCTACAAGATGTTTCAAACTAAACATAAAAATACAGGTGAAATTCCTATATGAGTTTCTTTTTTGGGAGAGTATATATTGTAGAAGTATATATGTTGTAGAAGAACGACGTCCCATATTGACGGTGTCCACTACCGATACGATGGTGTCCACTGATATCACTGATATATTGTAGAAGAAACGTACCATGTCGATGGTGTCCACTCGATACGACTGATATTGCATACATTAGAAGAAACGTGCCATGTTGACGGTGTCCACTTGATACGACTGATATCACATATATTGTAGAAGAAACGTGCCATGTTGACGGTGTCCACTCGATACGACTGTTATCACATATATTGTAGAACAAACGTCCCATGTAGACGGTGTCCACTCGATACGACTGTTATCACATATATTGTAGAACAAACGTCCCATGTTGACGGTGTCCACCCGATACGACTGTTATCACATATATTGTAGAACAAACGTCCCATGTTGACGGGTGTCCACTTGATACGACTGACATCACATATACACTAAGCGCCAAAAGAAACGTTACGCTCCTACCTTCATGAATTATTTCAAAACTTTCAAAGATATGTCTCATCAGACGAATATGGATATTCTACGGTCAGTCCATCAATTCATTATTACATCAAAACGTTTTGATTCATAAAGTTTTGTAGCTTCTCTTATATTTTTTATTTGTATCAACTGGCCACGAAACTGAACCAAGATAAATTGTTGATATCCATGATTGTTATTATTCAGAGATAACTTGTTATAACCACTATAAATATGTATTTTGCACAAATGTGAACCTTCACATGTATTATGGAGCGGCATTAATATAAGCCATTTAGGCTTGTTTGCCAATCCTTTTCTTTCTTCTTGAATAGAATAAAATATGTTTAAACCATATGTTAGAAGGTATTAGTTTAAACGAAAGCTTAACAACACAGCTTTATGCAAATCACGAAAAACAATTCTCAAATGCATTCATATTTAGGTGAAATGCATCTTTTTCAGAAAAGTTAAATTGTTCTTTTTCGTCCATGTCGAAATAAACCAATAACAATGATTTAGATGTCCTAAAGCAAGGTTGAAATAAAATTCTGCTTTGAGACAAAGATAAACCATTTAAAGTCACCATTTTCAACTATTAAAACAAGAAACAACTGTTGTAGAGTGTGTAAAATTGTTTAATAATCACTCCTATGATTTCAGTCTTTTAAAACATTTTCTGCTAATTTACATTAGTGAAAACAAGTAAAACGTGTCTTTGATATCGTGATAAAATGTACAGGAACATCTAAAATTATCTTTGTTAACATTTTTGCTTGCAATGTAACATTTTTCCATTTCCTGTTTACACATAGCAATATCAATCGCCAAAACGCAGCAATTTTCAGGCAGTATTTGCAGCCATTTCACATGTAGAGTGATTCTATCGCGTATAAAGAGAGACTAGAATGCATGATATGATACATAAGTACGAGAATTATGCTACGAGTAACAGCTGAAGAAAAGAGAAAGAGCCATTGGGATGGTGCAGATGGGGTCGACATACAATGCTGTTGCCAACGCCACCGTATCACGGTTATTAGACTTATTCAGCGCTTCAGACAGACTGGGGTCACCGCAGACAGACCAAGAAATGAACGTCCACGCATCACAACGCCAGCTGAAGATAGGTACCTCCGTCATTAAGGAAGGATGGTAACGTTTCTTTTGGCGTTTTGTGTATTGTAGAACAAACGTCCCATGTAGACGGTGTCCACTCGATACAACTGATATAACATATATTGTAGAACAAACGTCCCATGTTGACGGTGTCCACCCGATACGACTGATATAACATATATTGTAGAACAAACGTCCATGTTGACGGGCGTCCACTTAATACGACTGATATCACATATATTGTAGAAGAAACGCCCAATGTTGACAAGCACGATGGCACACCATATGCCGAGCAACCGAGCTTGACAACCGAGCTTGACAAACTGATTCAAATGCCTTTCAGGCGACCTCCTTTCAAACCTACAGTGGTGAGTTTAAGTATGAGCAAACATTACCTTAATGGTTCCGGGTTAGTTGAACTGAACAACTGTTTTGTATCTGCAGTAAAACTTAGCTGTCTATCCTACTTTGTTCTGAATGGTTTCATGCATGATTGTTTGTGATGCTGCTAGTCCCAGGGATATACCGTGTACACAGACATCTTTTGTGTAAGGGTCGGTTTGTAAGTCGACAAAACTTGAAAGAAAGAAAATTTGACGATATGAAATATTTATCAGCAACAGGATTGGTGGAGAGGATTTACTTGCCCTTGTGCGTTGGGGCGGTGGGGTAACCTAGTGGTTAAAGCGTTCGCTCGTCACTCAGCCAGTCAGCCAGTCAGCCCTTGTGCGTGAATATGCTTCTCACTGAACGGTTCTTTGTTAGTATTACCTATTGCTTCATATCGTTAAACATAACAGGATCTAGGTGGGGTATGGTGTTAGCATACATCAACATAAATTATATGCATCTACCCGAGTTGTATATATCTACCCAGATTGTATAATCTCCTCGTATTGTACACATCTACATCTACACAGATTGTATAATCTCCTCGTATCGTATACATCTACATCTACACAGATTGTATAATCTCCTTGTATTGTACACATCTACATCTACACAGATTGTATAATCTCCTCGTATCGTATACATCTATCCGAGTTATATACATCTACCCAAAATGCATAATGTCCTCTTATTGTATACATCTACCCGAGTTGTACATATCTACCCAGATTGTATAATCTCCTCTTATTGTATATATGTATCCTGGTGGTAGTCGACTCTTTCTAATGCATACATCTATCTGTAGACGGCTACAACACGGTGGTGTAAAG